ACAGAAGATTTTGGGTTCCACCTTCCCCAAGAAAAAAAAAACAACTCCAAATGCCTTTTGGTTGTACATCCCACATCTGTTTCATCGATGAAACTCCCAGCTGAAAAGGTGCTTTACAGCAATTAAACCACCAGAACTTTCTAAGATCTTTCTGAAAAACAAGCTTACTGTAAGGATAAAGCATTTGCTAGTTAGAACAGCCACGTATAATTGCTCCGAAGGGGTTAGGCTTTGCCGGGCCCGTTGGAAGCCGCTGCTTTGGGACTGAAAGCAGCAGCAGCCTGGTGTTGGCATTGCAAAAACCAGTGAGAATCCTCACTAGGACACGGGTGGCTGGGAGCTGATGGCCACACAGGAGCAGCCTGACAGAGCCACGAGGAGAGAAATTTTCTCTTGAGCTTGGCCACGCTGCCTTTCTGCTCTCCTCCTCGGTGCCGGAGAGGAGCAAAACAAAGGCGGCGATGCTATAGGTTATTATTCTGAAGAGGACTTTACAGAGTCCTGCTTAGGGAACATGCGGTAAAATAGATTTTATCTCAGATCCAATTAACAGCTGAGTTACGGGACTCAAGTGAAATAAAGGGCAGTGAATCTCCGAGACTCTATTTACATGATTTATTAGAATTCGGCTGTCTGCAGGAGCGGGCGGCAGCCGTTATGTTTAATTTATGAGGACACAAGGGGGAAAGGGCTCAGCTACCAAGCTGTTGGGGGGTTCCTACCCCAGCGGTGCAAAAATGCTCCTACAACAAAGGCACTAACAGCCCCCCCTTGCACCAGTATTGCGGTTGATGGGACAAGCTTGCCAACTGGGCTTGGCAGAACTGCCGGTGGAAAAGCACCCTTCGTTTCCTCTGACTGGTTTCAAGGTTTATGCAGAGGGAAGAGCCAAGGCTTAGAGATCCAGGGGGAAAAAATAGATGAATTCCCAGCCTTGCAGTTGAACTACCAGCAAGGGGCAATGCATGTAGTGGGAGTTGTGAAGAAGGTGAAACATGAGTCCTCTCATCTCTGTTTCTGAAACTTCCCATTTTAAGCATCTTTCCAAGCCAGAAAAGGATATTTGAGCTGACAGCCTTGGAAAAGTTCCACCATTTGATGTTTGTGTGTTTGTAGAGGAAGCACAGAAGGATTTTCAGTGACAGATGAAATCTGCAGTCCTTCTAACACACCAGTTAAAGTGGTTTTGCCTCTTGAAAGCCAAACTATAAGGGTTGCTATCAAAGAGATGTTTGATACCAGGAAACTAAGTATTGTGAGAAAAATAAAGAGTGTCCGTCGTTTTCTCACACTGCAATCAGTATTTGTACAAAATAGCTGCTTTCTCTGTCTTGCATAGCAATGCACTGTAGTCAGACCAGCTGCTGTTTAATTTAATTTTTAATTTTTTTTTTTTTTTTTTCAGAAGGGGCTGATGCACAGTGGTAGGAAAATACAACCACAAATAATGTGACTGTCTATAACTGGCTGTTCTCAAGAAGAGTGTTTTTGGTTTTTTTAAACACTTCAACGCTCTTCTGAGTATCTGTTAAGAGAGGCTCTGATGCCCTGTTGTATCACTATCACAAAATTGGGTGCTCCAGAGGGAAGGAGCCTAATTAGGTTTATTATTTATTGCTAGAGCAGCCTTAGATTTGGCAAATCCCCTCCCAGCAAGACTGTGTTCAGCTCCAGCATATGTTGTTTGGATACATAATTTGAACTTAAAAAGCCAAAAGTAGTTTTTTCTAATGGGTAGATGTGAGCTTTCTTCCAAATCTCTACAGGAGGTGGAAGGCTCTCCCGGGGGGGGGTGCCTTTTTCTGTTAAGTGTTTCTCTAATGGGTTTGGTGAGAAGCAATACTGACACAAAGCAGAAGGATCAGAAATCAGCCTTACAGTTGCAATTTAAAGCTTCTGTTCCCAACCACCATCTCAGCTTCTCTGTTCACCTTATTTACTCATTCCGATCTCTCTTAAGAAAACCAGGGACCTCTCTCTTGTGTTTCCAAAAGCTGACTTAAATAATTTTTTTTTAATGCCCGTGAATACAGTTAAAATATAATTTGCAGAGCAGGAGATACCCATCAGAAATCAGGTTGCTACATGTAGTTTTCTACTGTCAGACAGAGAGCCAGGGATGCTGACAGACTGCTCGTAAGGTGAACTTCAAATAGGACCAAGTTTTAAGAGTTATTTGTGTATCTGGCTACCTAAGATGCAGCCACACAAGTAACTCCAAGCTTTGGTATTCCCGAGTGACCACTAACACAGCTCTCAAAGGCACCTGAAACATGAGGCAGTAAGACAGCGGAGCTGTATGGGGAGTTCTAGGCAATTGCTCTTGCTGTCAGAGCTGTGATCTCTCATGTCCCAGTTTAGGAAGCACAAGAGAAATAGCAGGAAACATGGTTTTAAATGAAGGGGGGGGGGAGTTAGATAAATGTACCAATAGTTAAGCCTCTGCAACAGAAAGCTGCTGTGATGGTTTTCCAACAATATTTCATCCAGTTCCTAGATTTAAGACAATAAACTCTACAGTTTATAACATTCATGCTCATTATATTAAGGGATCTGTCTTCCTCAGTAGCGCTTTGACATAGACCACACTTACAGCTCCACTGTGCTGAAGTAGGACACACTTATTTTTTGCTTTTGAGATGACAGCAGCACACAGTACTACCCCCAAAATAGAGCAAAGATGGGTATGGTCTGATCTTGCAGGAGTGGTAATGCTCGAGTTTCACTAGAAAAACGGAAGAGAGAATTCAGCCTCTCAGGTACTAGCTGTATTAGGAATTAAAACCAGGTCTCCTGAGCCACAGGCAATGCTAACCCAACCACTCCTTATTAGACAGGGTCATTTTCCTCATTTCCCTCATCCAGATTTGCAGTGGCAGGGGAGATGATGCTTGCAAATTTAGCTAAAAGCTTTCAACCACATTCCCATGAGCACCAGCGCAATGGCTGTTGCACACAGGTGCCAACAAAAGCATTATTTGAAATACAGAAATCTTCCAGGGTACAGGATAAAGTGATTTAATTTCTTCCCCAGCTTCCTTCCCTTTGCTAGCTCTTCCAGTGGAGTTCACAAAGGTTTTGTTGGAGCCACACGGGACACGAGTCTCCAAGCATTGCTCCCTGGGGTGCAGGTAGAAGCATTGAACAGCGGAGTGAGGGCTCGGCAAGGAGCTCCACTTCCATCCTTACCTGACCAAAGCTGCCAGCAGAGAAGCATTAGGGGCAAAATGGTTCCTCTGGCTCCTTTTCAAGAGCTTGGTTTGGACACAGAGCCCATTTTATCATATTACTTCAGGAGGAAGTCAGTAGTCAGCCCCGACCAAGTTCCAGAAAAGTCTGTGTAACGTTTCAGGGTCTCAGTTTCATCAAGTTATTCGAAGTTTGGCACCCAAGTAGTAACAGTGAACAATCAGCCATCAGCACTGTTACCATTACTGTTATTTACTGTCCACAAGCATCCAGGACTGTGATGCACAGCAGGGGGAAGTAACAGGCGGGCACTTGCTCCCAGAAACCTACAGCTTAGATGTAGTCATAGCAAAGCAAGAGAAGTTGTTCTCCATCTCCCCACCCCATCAAAGTCACCATGAGCTCTTAGTCTGAGGACAGCGTTGCTGCTGACAGAAATAAAAGCTGTATCAAGAGCCACAGGCAGTGTCTTTGCTAGGCACCAGAGAGCCAGGCACAAGGCAGCAGAGAACCTGGCTCAGCCTTTCCCAGCAGTTTAAGCTCCCACCTGGTTTGTGTTGCAGCTGGTCTGTTGGGGCAAACAAGTAGTACCACCAGCTGTGATGGTCTGATGACTTGTGATCACTGCTTCACACTTAAATGGTCACATACAACTTGGGTAACAACCAACTGCTTGGCTCAGCTTCTCTTCCCTGCTCAGCCCCCAGGTACTCACAGCTTGCTCCTGGGATGTTCCACACTCCGCAGAAAACCACCTTGCAAAGCCCCTGGCTGTTATTCTCCATCAAGCTCTCCCCCCACCCCTGCCAGCAAACTCATCTTTAAAAACTGTTGTCAGCTGTGAGGATGCAGATGGTCACATTTGCATCAAACAACTTTTAAATTATCATTCAAATTAAATTAAATTGAAAATGCAATGAGCTGTTCCTGTAGATCGAGGCACACAAAGATGAGTTAATGAAGGTCACATTTGTAACCAGTGAAGAACATTTAAACTGTATCATGCCTAGCATGGTATGCTAGTAGAATAACATGTCTTTCTAAATAAGGATAAAAAACCTTGCGCAGGATTACTCCCTGCTCCCAGAAAAGGCTGGTCTTTGGGAACTGTTCAAACAGGGAGAGGTGCTGGGTCCAGCAGAGCACCAGCAAAACTCGTTGGCCATGTGCTCTGAAGCCTCAGGCGTCAGTTTGGGCCATGCAGGTCCTGCCTGCTCTCCTCGCCTGAACGCAACCCCAGGCAAGCCTGGAAAGCCCTGCATCACTCAGCTGAGAGGCGCTTCTTCAAACGAGGGAGCTGGAGTTTTGCAAACATGCAGTCTGCATGACTCTGGTTGTCACCGAGTCGTTGACAGGCACAGAGCTGTGTGTGCCTTTTGCCTGGCACTGCCTTTGCAGTCATCTGCGGAAAAACTGCCCTGCGATGGCTTTGGCAACGTCCATCATCTTCACGGCTCTCTGCTGTCACGCCGGTGTCATACAAATTAACTATACCTCTTTCTGTGTGCTGAGATGAAACCGGTAACCAGTTTGGCTTGCAAGGGGCAGAGCAGAGGCTGCCCTTCCCACAGGCACCAGGCCGGGCTCTGACAACGCCCCGGGTGCGTGCAGGAACCGGGCACCTCACCAAGCGCCCCGAGCACAGGCAGCCCTGGAGCAGTAACCCGAGCAAGCCGATGCGCAGCAGAAACTTGTAGTTACTGTTCTTTCTCCCTCCTTTGCGTGACGACTGCTGCGGGCCACGTCGCATACTCCATCCTGAGAAATGAACTATCATTTAGGATAGCGAAATAAATAGCAAAAATACATACCAACTGCTCCTTAGCAACAGAACTCTTTGTTTTCACACGTTCTCTGTACCACGCTCAGGTGTGAAGTCAGACGCCGAGAGATCAGGGATCTGTGAAACGGAGAGTAATAATTGGCACAGTTTTTGGCATCTGGAGATAGTTTTTACATGCCAAGGGTTAAGAGCTGCTGGTTTGCTACAGTGGTAGCCTGCTCTTCCACAGAGAAGAGCCAACACCTGCCATCAGAAGAGGACTAATGTGCTCACTTTAATTAGCCACTGAGGCTTTAGTTGCTTGAAAGTGACTGATGCATCCAAAATCTTAGAAAGCAAATGTTATAAAATCCACCCATCCACGTTTCTGCCATATTCTAACAAAAGCAGTCGAGTCACAGCTGAGTGCAGTTAATTCCTTGCAACAAAAATCACCAGGTTCAGTTACTGAGCTGAGGACATTGGGTAAGTGGGTTAACCCCATCTGTGAAATGTGCTGCTGAGAGGCAGTGATGCGCCTTTGCTCACTCTGAGACGAGCATTGCTCAGATTTTTTTTCTTAAATGCTTAGAATGGTTTTAAATCTGAGGAAAGCCCTTTTGATCTCAGTGGATGATGGTCTAATTTGTATCAGCACAACTGGGAACCAAATCTGGACCTGAGTGTTCTACTCGAAGCAAGCTTCTGTGCGATGGCATCTGAGAAATTGCAACAACTGGAATTAAACTATTTTACATAATCCATTCACAAGATACAGCTCATAAATAATAGTAGGAAAACAAAATGTCAAGCCAAACTGATTAAAAAACAAGCTTGAAAGCTGCCTTACAAATAAGAGGCACAATAGTAGCTCAGCGGTGAATGGTGATTTACTTTCTGGTTTGTAAACCAATTTATTTATCCATAGTTGGATGTTGAAAGATTATGCAAAAATAACAAAGTCAAGGATATGTGACTAGAAGGAATGTATTACCACTTCTGCCTATCTGGATTCAACAGAGGAATTTTAGGCTTTGTCCTGTTTTTGATAACTGCAGAAAAACTCCCCATCTAAAACCTCAGCCTCCCTCTGGGCATGGGAGCAGACTTCGAGCCCCAGTTTCTGCACCTTCTCCTCATCAGCTCCGGGGAGTTAAATTAAATGGCCTTGATCAAGGAGGTCACAGACTTCACGGGGTTTACTGGTGCTTTTTGCCACTATTGCCTGCTGTGGTACGTGACAAGCCTGTGGCACCAACACAGCTCAGTTACTATCCCCTGAAAACTCAATGACTTTTCAGAGGAAACGAAGACTTTTGAGTCTTGCCATTGAGTTCTGTTGCGCAGCATCAAAGCATTGCAAATAGAAGCCTTTGCACTGTCCGTTCACATTCTCCCAGGAATCTCTATGGGAAGGGAAAGTTTCCTCTTTAGATGTTCCATTAGAAACTGCCGATGCAGAATCCATCAAATCCATTAAAAGTCCATTAAGACTGTAAGGCTGTTGTTTATTTTTCTGTGTTGTCTGAAGAATTTGGAAGGCCACAAGCTGTACGTTGCCTGTGGCAGATGATCGGGTGCTGCCTGGCTCTGTCTTCTGGCTGCAATATCCTACAGGCAACATGGATATGTGGTTTTGAAAGATGAGAGGAATCGAGGCACTTGTAATATGCCTGGATGGCTGGGCCAGTGCCTTTCAATTATGTCACACAAAAATTACAGCAGTGGAAGACAGACAACAAATGAAGCCAAATAAGTTTGGCCCAAAATCCACCATGCCAATTTGTACCAGAACAACTCCGAGTCTGAGAAAATTGCTCTTTGGTCAGTTGTGAACTGTACATTCTTCCCTAATAACTACAACAGGTGACACTTAAATTACAACTAGATATACATTAAAATGAGTTCAAGATTGATAGTACTGAGTAGGACAACTACCTTGTATATTGGGCTGAATGAAATATCACGTAAGATTAATGCCCCAGGGTGTTTTAAAAACTTTTATCATCAACACATCGGTTTTAGCACATATGCAAAATGTAATTTCAGGTAACACCATGAAATAGCTGTTTCTAAGATAAAACAAGGCACAACAATCCCGTGCAACCCAAAATGATCGGGGCCTTCAGGCAGAGCAGACTGGCTAGGACACAGGATTAATCTTTGTAAATTAGCGTCAAGTCAAGTGGAGAGTCTAAGCCAAGGTTGTCCCAACAGGCAACATGCAGTGATGATACTTTGGTGAAACCTCATGACACCCTGTTGGGAACGGGTGATGCTGTGCAGACATGCAGCACCTCGGACTCTTGCAGATAGCAGGCAGTTACACCTGGTAGAACGCGGAGGTCAGACGCTGAGTGTGTGAGATGCTTTGTCTGGCTTCTTACAGCCTCCTGGGAAATTTGTTTGGGTTTGGTTAACTTGACTTCTAAATGCAGGCATCCTACGGAAGGAAACTTCCCTGAATGACAAGTCTGATGTAGTTAAACAAAACCATTTTTGAAATGCAGAACTCAAACGTGATTAAAATGCAGGTTTCCCGATGTATATTTCATCAAGGCTAACCATGAGCAATCCTTTTAAAATATTTCCTTTGATGGCTGGCTGTTTATTTGGATTCAGTGAAGGCAGGTCTGGTGAAAGAGGGTGTCAAGCAGGTCAAGAGGCGAGACGGACACTATGCCCTGGAAATTCAAGCCTTTATTATCTGGTCTCCATGGGATTTCCTTTCCTACATGGAAAAATGTGTGGTAATGCCATAGCAACAACAAAGGAACAAACATAGCAGGGCATGTCTCTGCTGTTTAAGGCTTAGTAGGCTGGATTTTATAAATGACTGCATTTCCAGAACAGTTATTTTCCTCAGAGTAGTATAAACAATGAGAAGCTGAACTAAAGGCACAAGAAATAAGGATGAGCAGCTTTCCATCTTCTCTTTGAGGATTTGACTGTAAGGCAAAAAGAGCCTTATAAATATTAAGGACAAGTTGAAAAATCCTCATTTTAATTTTAAACTGATTCCTCTCCCTTGTTTCGTACCAAACTTATAAAAGAAGCATCCTTAAGCCCCAAGAGAAACCCCTCACCCCGTGTGGGTAAGCACAGACGCCTGCAACTGCACGTATTCTCGGCCGGGCAGTTCCCACGGACGAAATCTACTGCCCGCTTGTTAGGCAAAGGGACTTTGCTTAAAGATTCAGGGGCTAAACGGCCCTTAGGGAACTGGAATGTCTGTGGAGATTCACAAAACTGGAAGAGGCTCCCCTGAGTGCATCACTTCAAGCTCCAGGTCCTGCTCTCGGATGGCACGGGCCAGCTGCTGTGCACTATGTATGCCAGCAGGACATAGAGGAAGGCATAAGCTGGGTTTATTTTCTTCCTGTGGATTTGATCTAGTATTTCACAGGAGCTCATGACCTGCCAACAGGGCTCTTAAAGCCTTTTGCAAATGGTAGATCAACATGATTTATCAAAATCAGGTTATAATCATGACACTGATCTGTCAGTCAGCAGCCCCGGAGGAAAGTTTTTGCAGCCCTCCAATAACCTTTAAGATCCTTGACATGAAATGCAAGGCTTTCCGAGCTGCTTCATGACCTTATTTGTAACCTTCCTTTCACAAGCTATTATTCTTCACACAGTGAGCCCAGATAGCAGAGCCCATCAGCACCTGTCGGGGCTTAAAGCTCACAGCCTAGCTGTCATATTTCAAACCGGCTCTTTATCAGAGGAGACCAAAGTCATGCCAAGAAAAGACTAAGAGGGGTGTGTGTAAGAAGGAAAAAAAAAACTCTCCAGTTTTCAGGAAAAAAAATGGCTAAATATAACTACATTTCATAGTTACCCAGTTTTTGCTGGAGTAAATCCCAGAGGCTGGATTCCAGTGCCTTCATTTGCAAACCCGATTTCCATACCCATCACGGGCTTTGCCCGCTCCTCCTGGTCTGTCCAGGAACCTCAGTTAGTCACTGGATGTAATGCTGTATTAACTGCTTTGTAGTGTAACTGTTTTGCTCAGATCGTCTCTCGAGGGAGGGCACCGAGCATCAGAAATTCCCTGCCCTCATGCAGAGGGGACAAGTGCTCTGTGTCTTCCCTAGACCAAACCCTTCAATCATTTTCTTTGAAGCCTAAATCTCGCTTTATTCAGGTTCTCATTAGAGAAGAATGCCAGCATTTAAGTTATGAGTTAACTAGTATTATACTGCCTCTGATTTCACTAGAAGTTTCTTTGAAAAGAGTAGCCAAAGTCGGGCAGTATCCAGAGCCCATCAAAAAAGCTAATGGCAAGAGGTCCTAACGTGCCTTGGATAATTAATGTGAGCCTATGACTGACAAACTCACAGACAGGGTTTCATTCGAAAGGCTCCTTCATAAAGAACAGTAACTGCGCTAATTATATGAATTCTTCAGTGGTTTAATACATGTTGAAATCATTTCACTAGGCATAAAAAGAAGTATTGTGAGATTAACACTTAAACGATTGAAAACATCTGGGTTTAGAAAAACGGATTGGTTAGACAGCCAGCTTTTGCAGGGCTGTGCAGGGTTATTTTCCCCTTTGGATTAATCTACTCGTCTACAGAATAAGTATTTTTCTGACCTGCCAGCAGAGACAATATTAATAGTTTCTAATTCTTTAGTCAGCAGAACAATAAGGCGAATGCATGCCTGGGATTGGATAGAGGGGAGTCTTTATGATCCTTTAGCATCCCTTTAAATTCTCCTTCTGTCACTTGCAACAAAACAGGCACTTTTTGGTATGGAAAACACATGGCACACAAAGAAAAAAGGAAAAATAAGCCTGCCACTTTTAAAGGCAGAACTACACTCAGATTTATGGGGTTGTGGCTAAAGAACAGAATAACAGCTGATATCTTTTTATGGGTGATTGGGAAAAAGTAAATGTATTTCATATACTATTATGTACTATTATATAATGGTTAGCGATGGCAAAGAGAGAATAGATGGAGGGGTTTTTTTCATTAAAACGCCATTAACAAATGGAATGGGTGGGAGGAGCCATTGACTTGATAGTGGTAAATGACCTGATCACAGGTGAATAATAATAATTGTGCATCGGCAGTGATCAGTGCCAACTTGACAGATAGCTCAGATCTGACCCGTAATATTTGGCA